GCTTTCTAATTACTGAGAGAGTTCAGCTGGTGTCTTGGCTTTCCATGCCTTTTTCCCTGTGCCATTCCACATTATTACAAATAACTTCATTTCTGGACATTTATGGTTTGATTTCTTTGTATGTATGGATCACTTGGGTTGTTACCAACATCTGGTGAAAATTTCATGTCATTAGCACCTCTGGTAATATATTTACTGAGAAAAATGGTGACGTGTTCAATACTTATTTTACCCGCTGTGTAATCTATCTAATGTTTTAAATAATGCCAGAAAAGCTGTTTGTGTTATGGATTTATTAACAGAAGATAAACAGGAAAACCTCATTTTAAAACACAAGTCAGCCGATTTGATCTTATTTAGCTCAATGTGATCTGAGCAGAACTGAAACTAATGCAGGGTTCCCACGAGTCCTTGAAATCCTTGAAAGTTTGTCAATTTGAAAAAAATGATTTCAAGGCCCTGGAAAGTTTGTGGAAACAGCCAAAACTTACACTTGTCCTTGAAGGTCCTTGAAAATTTTTTGGGGATTGAAGTTCTTCTATTCACACACCTGATTTTCATCATCTGTAAAAAAAAATACTAATAATAAAATTAAATTAAAAACTTACATTTGTTGTGGTGGATAACTCAGGATTAAGGTAAACTGACATGGCTTTCAACAAATAACTTGAGCCCTAGTCATAGTTTTAGCCAATCAGAGCAGAGTAGGGCGGGTCTTTCTTTCTGAGCCCATGTGAGATCACCACGAACCTCCCAGGACATAAATACATGTCCATGTATTGTAGATATGACTGTAGGGTTTACATTTAATCCACTTTCTTTCATTGTTTCTGACTCAACAACTTCTATGTTCAGTTTTTCATTGAATTTACACGATATTAAACCTGTTTATTGGTAACACTCTGTGGTAGCAGGAGGTAATTGCCGTCGCGCGTGGTTCATGAATTTGAGGAAATTGGTACTTGAAAGTCCTTGAAAGGTCCTTGAATTTGATGTTGACCCAGATGTGGGAACTTTGCTAATAATATAACAGTTTAAAATTAAAATAATCTTATAAAGTCCATGTAATCACTTTTATTTATTGAACTGGTTAGCAGATATTAGCATGTGGAGCATATATACAGAGTGTAGCACTGTTGAATCATGCTACAATTTAACACAAACTGTTGGCGGGGCGCAGTCTAGGGTTCTTATCTAAGTAAATTAAACCAGACCATAGACTTGAATAAGAACCCTAGACTGAGCCCCGCCCATCTCACCCACTGTCAGCATCTGTGAAAGCATGGAGGAGCAGAAAAAGTGAGCGAACAGGGCAACAGCTCACAGCCACCATTGAAACTAATAAAACAACAAACCGAACTGGATCTGTTTCACAAATTATCTGTAATATTTATACAATAAATTAATAACTATATTAATTTCATTCAACAGTCATGTAAAACAGTAGATTTATACCAGAAAAATATATAATTTATAGAT